AAAAGTATAAGTACCCTTTTAGCCCTTTTGGGTTTTTAATTTAAGTCAAAATCAACTAATTTAAACTACACATTTTATGGTATTCACGACTTTTTAATTACATATTTCATCCGTTTTTATAAAGATTTGCTAAAAATATGGTTTTAATCTGCGCTAAACAGAGGTTTAATTTATGTTTGGCTTATATTTATAATTTAAACCGTTTATAAACACTTTCCAGACACGTCTTTAGAAGAATCTCGTAAAAGGATTGTTTAATGAGAATGATATGATTCCACTTGTTGAAAGTCTAAGGAAGAAATTAGAAACATGTTTGATGTAAATTTTTAAGAATAGTTTTTATGGAAAAAAAATGATTTTTTTTAGAAAATATATGATCAAAAAGTAAGGAAAAGTTATATGTTTACGTGCAAAATTATTTTATTATGAAAATGTATTGAATATAAATTTTAAGGAAAAAAAATTAAAAATTTGTACCAATCAGTGAACAAGGAATCTATGACATGTCCATAATAGAGTCCCTATAAATAATATAGTTTTCATTAAAAAATTTCGAGAATTCATGAAAAAAAAATCTATCACAAAATCATTTTTAACGGTCAATTTAGGGCATTCTTTATTCTACTACAATATCAATTTCTTGAATTCTTAGTCCATGTCTAGTTCATCTAAATAGCTGATTTTTATTAGATTTTAATAAAAATTGATTAAATGTTCGATTGAAAATTTGATAAAAATTGAGAATTCAATAAAATGTGTGATTGAAAAATTCGATAAAATGGATACCAAACAGGGACTTCAACCACAAATTTCATAAATTTTTATCAAATTTATTAAAATCTAATTTTTATCTAAATTAATGAGATTTTAATTCAATGAATCATATACGTGGTACATTTCATTCGAAGGCAACTTTAGCTACTATTTGTTCAATTTTCATGAAAAATACTGTCATTATCAGTATAAACACAACGGACAATGTCAAACAAATAAAAAAAATTTAAAAAAATTGGTCAAGTCAATGGTCAAAATGTTGTTCTTCTACCTATGATCACAACCACAAGACGAACACAACCAACAGCTGCAAGATGAACCAAATTTCTGATTTGATTCTGATTCTGAAATGAACAGCATCATTTGAGGATATATCTGATTCTGAAAAAGCTTGAAAATTGAAATTAGGATTTGAACCATAAAGAGCTTGTACTCCCTTTATATCATCAATCTTCAAATCCAGCTTCTTCTCTCTAGGTTTCAAGCTTGGATACATAACTGCATCTTTAACACTTGTGTGTGCCAATCCCAACAAGTGTCCTATTTCATGTAAAGCCACCGATTCCAAATCTACGGCCACGTCTGATTTTTCCGTTTTAAAATCCACCGCCCATGTCTCAGCGGCGTCAAGGTGGAACCGCCCACTCTCCGGCGAAAATGCATGCGCTAATACACCGAGTACACCATCAAACGCCTCTCCATCACCATGATCACCACTGTAAAACCCGATTTTGATATCTGCGAACCCGTAGTCATTTGTTTCTACAAATGTAACTGGAATTACTGCTGCCCAATGGACAAAGGCGCGTTTAAAAACCTCCCTTATGTCTTGCATGCTTAAGGATTTGATCAAATTGCTTGGTGAGAATGCATACGTGAGTGTCATCGGCATACTCCGATCCCATCTCGGCCGGTCGGGGAAATATTCGAACCGCTGCATGGCTCCCAACTTTTCCGGTAGCTTATCGGGCACACCACATCGGGGCGACATAATCTCCGACAATGTATCTGAATCTAGCTTTCCTGTAATTGGAAGGCCTAGTTTTGATTGATATCTTGTTATGGCATTTTCGAGGTTGGCATCGAATATATCGGTGGTAGCATTCATTTCTTCTGCCATTAAATAACCAAAACGATTGAAATATTTCTTGAGTTGAGAAATTCCATCAATGAAACTCCCTTTTGTGACATCCTGGAATTTTTCGAATTCATGCCAAGTGTATCTATAATTTTTCGAGTTTACTGTATAAGTAGGTGTGATTCTAGCATGAATATAGGGTGAAGACGAGAGGAAAAGGAGGATGAAACATGAGAATAACGGTAACATGTTGGCTTCATATGAATATGCATGAAAATGTTAGAATTGGGGGTATTAAAATAAGGAAGCTTTATTCCAAAGAAAGGGTGATCAATTTTCAGAAAACGAAATGAAACGGATTTATGTTGACTTATGATGAAGCAAAATTGGAATTTGACTTGTTTTGATTTGCAAAGCAATCAAAAGGTAGACAAATTTGATATGAATTTTGGTTGGGACTCATTTTCATGGGGTAGACTCTGATTTTTGAGCATATAGTCGGTTAATGGTTGGTATATCGCAATCTTGAATGTTATTACTAATATAGTAGCTAGAATAGGTCACATATATCCAATGTAATAATTAATAAACAATTAAAGTATCAATCTTGTTACATGTACACTTTTTTTGACATTAAATTTGACATAGTGTCACTTGTCACACAACGAATGACTAGTTTTAAAATGAAAAATACTTTTCCGTCGATACATTGTTGAATTTGAAAGCAATGTCAAACTCCATGTACAACATGGAGTGTACAAGGAGTATTATTCAGTCAATAACAACAAATTAAATTCTAGCCATGGATGGTCAACTTTGAACAAACCTAGTTAAGGTGGCTACTAATGTCAAACATGGTAGCCACATATATATACTAATTCTAGTTTGATTTGCCCTTTGCTTAGTATTTCTTTCCTTTCTGGTTTAGGTTTAGCTATTGTTGTTGGTGTCAGAAGCAAAGCGAAGCAAGAGATATTTCAGTTGTGACAGAAGTTCGGTTATGGATTTGTTTCAGTTTCAAGATAGAATGAGTAACTGTTTGAAGCAACCGATAAGAGTTCGTTAAGCGCTATCATTGTTTTGCTGTTGAAATTTGTTTGGTTGTGGCCTACCTCCAATTTTTTCAATCCAATTAAACAAACTACATAAAATCCTCTTTATAATTATATTGTTGGAATAAAACAAATTTTACTAATATATGAAGATTTTATAACTTAATGGAGGCGTAGTAATAAAATTCTTATTTTTAATATAATTATCTTTATTGCAAGTAGTATAAATGTAAAGTATACACTATATTAATATAATTAATTAATAAAGCATGTCAAATTTAAAATATATACATTGAGAAAAGAGATAGATAGAATTTCAAAAAGTTAGTGTTTGTATCTGTGTGATATTGAATATCTGCAAAGTTATCTTAAAATTTTATATTCTATTTAATTTTTTTATAATGTAAATTTTATAAATACATCTTTTATAATATAATCCATCCAATATTCAACCAGTTCAAGTGATACATTTCCCTCATCCTCTAGCAAATCAATCAAGCCACCCAAATTTAATAAATGAACTCAACTAATCGAAAATACATTTGTTGAGTTGTGCAAAATGAATGAATGGTTGGAAGATATTCATGGTAAGGTACAACTAGCAATATCTAAGATGCTCAAATGATCAGTCGAGCTCCTTCAAGGGGAAGTATTATTGAACCCAAAAGCAAAACGTTCAAACATGGTAAAGTACCCAGAATTGGTATTTGCTTTCAATGAACGGTTTGTATGCCCATAAGAACATGTCAATATGAGATGACGTTAAAAGAGAAGGAAAATTTTTAGGAACGCAACTATATCTTGAAGCTATTTTTCAAATGGATGATTGGTAAAATTCAAATAAAGATGTGCAATTCATTCCTTACGTCGTTTTTGGGAAGTGGTTCAGTTACTATAGATAGAGAAAAATTGAAGCTATTTTCCACCAATAAGAGGAAGTTAGACAAATGGGCTTGAAAGGACAATAACAATATGACTGACTATCTTATTTTGTCACATGAAGAACAGTAACTCTCTTGGAACAAAGCTGAAGGGGGCCGAAAGCAAAATAAAAGATTATTACAATTGTTATTTGTTGCAATAGTGATGGCTCTGACAAACTTACTCTTCAGGTCATCGATAAGGTTCTTAATCCAAAATACTTTAAGAATGTTGAGTGCTGTAATTTCAACTGCAAGTATTGAGTAAATTCAAATGCACAAAAATCTGTTTTTTATAGAATGACTAAAGTGGTGATAATCATTTGAAAAAAAATTCTTGTTTATTGATAAGTGCGTTTTGTGCACTTATTTATATCATATTATTAAGTTTTTATATCGTCAAATTATTAATTTCTAACTAATTTAGGTTAATTTTCCTTTGTTTTAGTTACGGACCCGTTTTGAAGCGATTGGAAAAGAAAATTATCAATTGGCTATTAAATAGAGTTTGTGGACAAAATCTCGCGGAATAAAAGTTGGAGGATCAAAATTGAGGAGAAAATGAAGAAAAGGACTCATTTGCATTACATGGAAGAATTGAGGACTTTGAAGAAAACACTACATTAAATGGGCTTTTCTTTTGGACTTTTAATTGGAATGAAAGAAATTGATTGCAACACATCACAAATATTAATTTGTCCAGATCAATTCACACGCTTTACTATCCTATGTTTGAATACCGATCATAAATTAATTACAGAAAGATAAATAACACAATTGTTTGATGACCTAAAACCCCAATGTGGGTAAAACTCCGGGCCCAAGCCAGCAGGAATCCACTATAAATGAAAATGAAACTTACAATCAGTCAAACTTAACCTACACTGGTTTTTCTAACATCCTGACCATAGTTTCCTCAAAACCTTTCAGGAATGCGTCGGCACCTAGCCCTCCTGGATTGCGTGCTACACCAATTCCAGGCTCTTGATTTTGTCTATCTCCTGTGGATTCAAGAGAACTGCCTGTTCTTAAATGATTGGGACTCCGATCTCCTTCATCGATCTCCAAGAATCAATAAAGGCTCTAGAAGGTTGTGTTGTGGTGTTTGGTGAATGTTGATTTGATGTCTTTTATGTAATTGCTCAAATCAATTATGGGGTTGAATGAGAGAATCAAAGTGTAGGAGAGTTTTTCTTCATTTTCAATCCCTTGAGAGCACCACTGAAAATCGGCGCAATTTTTCTTATATGCCGTGTATTTTGATATTTTGGTTGGGTTGAAAATGTCAAAAAAAAGGAAAATAGGGTTTTATGGGTAACACTGTCGCTTGACCGAAAAGTGACCGACAAGCAAGCGACACTGTTTCGCTCGAGCGAAGTGGGGGCGAGAAGCGAGTGACGACTATTCTGTTTTTGTTACTCTAGCGACCACTCGGCAAGTAGCTAGCGAAACTTCAACGACACATCTTGCCCTACTTCATAGCTCGAACCCTAGCACACTTTGTCAAAATTGCAACTGAGTTCCTCATCTTTTACACATGTACACAATGACCCCCCAACCTTTAACTATTGACAAATTGACCCCAAACTTTGAACATTTATAATTTTACCTTTTTGTTCACAGAATAGCCAACACCAAATCTAACAAACTCTCCCTTTGGCATTCTGTGACAAAACCAAATTACAGCAGCATGAACTACAATGACAATCCAATACACTGACTCAACTCACTGTTGCCTTGACATCTTTCAACCTGTTTCCTGAAATCACAACTCACATACCCAGTGTAAAAGCACGAGTAACAGTAATATAAGTAAACATAAAAGATGAATAGCCATAACATTGTACCAATATGCTAGATTAAGAGATAATATCAATGTAAGTCAAACCACCAAAAAACATACATCAATAGTGCAAAACATCAACACATAATCTAGCCAAAAATATCAATAGTACATTATCATTACAAAACCCAAAAATTAGCACCCACTCTCCCTTTTTGTCACAAATGGCAAGGGGAACCCTAAGCAATTAAGCAGGACCATGATCTCCGCCATCCACGTCCTCAGAATCCTCAACCTTAGACTCATAATCCCAGTGTTCGGTGGATGGGCTGAAAAAAGATTACCTATACACATAAATATAAGGGAAAAATTCACAAATCCTGCTTTATGTATGGAGACTTCACAAACCAGGTTTTAAGTTTACAAAAATGCAAAAGTCAAGTTTCTTAGTTAATTAATTAAAAAATTTTATTAGCTAAATATAACAAGGTCACAATTATATAATTAATGGTCACATATACATAATTATAGGTCACAATTTATTTATTGATCACATATTATCAAATTAATTGATCACAGATTATTTCGATGTCACAAATCAAAAGTTTTTTAGATCACAGTTTATTTAGTCGGTCACAGATCAGAAAATTATAGGTTACAATTTTTCTATCGGTCACATATTTCCAAATTTGTTGGTCACATATTATTTTTCGATCACAAGTTATCAAAGTTTTAGGTTACAATCTACCAAATACTTGGTCACGGACACCAAATAATTGGTTACAGACTATCGCCACCAACACCACTGCCAATTGCTCGCCACCATCACCATAGTTTAATTATAATTGGTCACAAGCGTCAAAATAGTTGGTCATAGATTCCAAACACCCATACCACCGATCTCGATCCAGCACCAACAATAACAAGACAGCCCACCACAATCTACATCTACACCACAATTGGTCAAACACCACACACCGATAGTGTCGCCAACACCACCGCACCCACAGCGCCCACACACCACCACCGTATCCAACCACACACTACCACCACCATAAGGAGCATCAACACCACCACCACATCCCCGATGTCACCATTGTTGAAAACCACAAAAATCCCAAACCACCACCACCACTACACTTTGACGTTACCCCTGCTGAAAACCTTAGCAGCCCTAAACCATCATTACCACCACCATAAGCAACATCAAAACCACCACACACCCTTCAACATACCCGTGCAAGTTTCCCAGCCACAAACTCACTGATTCAACCAGCATTGTCGCACAGCGTAGCCACAACGATGCCACGCATCACCCTAGTGAGCACTAACTTTGATGCTCACAATGGTACTCAGATCAATGCTTGACATTTTGTAGCAGCCACGACATCAACGAGCATCGCTCTCGAACCAACGCTCGTCGCGGCACCTGTGCTAGTGTGGTGTTGTGCGGTGCTGTGAGTTCGACGTGCATTGTTGATGTGGGCAGTGGTCTCCGACAGTGGGATGCGGCGCTGATGTAGGTTGAGTAAGAGAGTAAGGAGAGAAGATGGAGTGACGTAAATTTGAATTTAGGG